CAATACCATAACTCAAATGCATCAAATCTTCTACGGTCTTCCTTATTCACTGTCCAGCTTTCGCATGCATATGAGGTTATTGACCATGGCTTGGGTCAGGCGCACCTTAGTCCTCAAGCTGACGTGAGTGTTAGAGAAGATCTAATGAAAAGCTCCTGAACCAAGTTTGCAGGACTAATGAGGTGTAACATTATGGACCGTGAGAAGGGTTTAGGGTGGCAGCCTGGAGACACAGGAAAGCATGGAGCACTGGAAGGACCGGAGGGTGTTGCTGGTGCCTCGTAAAGGGAGAATGAGCGGAATCCTCAGCAGGTTAAATGGAGGGAATATAAACATGAAAGTATTTTAAGCAGGTTTGTACCTCTTACCCCAAAGAATTTTACCACCAACTACTGTTCTCCCAAGTCAGAATATGACCGCCATCTCAACTCCCTGTTCTCCCTTTCACCTGTATCAGTGAATTTATGAATGAAATTCTAGTAGGTTTCGGACAGTATTTAGTATCCCTGGAATAAGAATATTAGCAGATCATAAATTTGAAGTACCAACCACTGTTTTCAACTCTTCTTATTAATTTGGTGAACGGCAGTTTATGGGGTTTAACTTGGAACCGGAGCTAGGTTTTGTCATTTATTAGTGTTGAGCTGTGCGTTAATGCACTGGACTACAAAGTTGGTTTGAATTGCAAGGTTGGTGGTTCAAGATGACCAGCCACTCCTTGGAAACCCTATACACGGTCGCTATGAGTCAAGATCGACTCCAGGGCACTTAACAAGAACAACAACCAGTGCCACTTCAAGCATGGTGGCTCCAGACGATAAGCACTGGACTGCAGACCATAAGATCCACGGTTGGAGCTCACCAGCCATTCCACAGGAGAAAGATGAGGCTCTCTGCTCCTGCAAAGATTTAAGTCTCAGAATTCCTATACAGGGTCACTATGAGTCGGAACTGACTCCACTTGTACTCAACAAGTGCCACTTCACCCCTCTTGGTAAAAGAGTTGTAGTAGAAGAGCTGTTTCTATTCAACTGTTGCCTTTAATAATTTTTATGGATGGTTTATAGGAGCCCTGGTGGTGCATTGGTTAAGCACATGACTACAAACTCAAAGGTTGGCAGTTCAAACCCACCCGAGCAACTCCATGAAGATGTGGCAGTCTGCTTCTATAAGGATCAGACTTGGAAACCCAGTTCTACTCTGTCCTATAGGCTTTCTACAAGTTATAACAGCAATGGGCTTGGGGTTTTTGTTTTTGTTGTTTTGTCATTTTTATGTATAGTTTGCACAGCAGAACTGTAATGCTGAGCCTGAATAAAATTTTTAATGACTTCTTAAAATCGTTTGTCCTCTGGGCTTATAATTAAACATGGCTTTCTCCTTTAAATACTATTTAATTGAATTTTTTTCCATCTAATTTAATTTTATGAGACCCTCAAAGAGAAGCATTCCCAAAAGCATCAAATAAATAAGGCCTTTAAGTTGGCAGTCTTTTTCTTGATACTGGTGAACATTTACTTGTCTGGTCTCTTTTTCTTGAAATATTTAATTGCAAAGACAAAATCATTAACTGATTTCAGTTGTGTTTCAAATGAAATTATATTTTTCCATTTGGTTCAAGCTGATGGTCCCTCAGTAGACACATTAATTATTAAAGTAGACTCCAGTGGTTATAAGTCACTTACTATATATTTTGCTAAGTTCTGTCCTTTGGGCCTAGAAGCTAAAAGAATATTTACTTGAACAGCTGTGCAAACTTCTGCACCAGGAGAGGCAGAACTCAAGTTACTACAATGAGGATGGTCATCACCCAAACACAGAAAACTGACAAGGATGCGAAGAAACTGACATGGCTGGTGGGCGTGCACATTAGTGCAGTCATAATAGAAAACACTGGGGCATTTCTCAAACAGTGAAAAAGAAAATTACCTTATGAGTCAGCAATTCTACTCCTAGGTAAATACCCAAAAGAACTGAAAGCAGGATCTAAAACACAAACTTGTACACAACATTCATAGCATTCACAATAGCCAAAAAGTGAAAACTACCCAAGTGACCATCAACAGATGAATGAATAAAGGATATTCTACAGCTAAAACAAGGAATGACATTCTGATACAGTAATAACATGAATGAACCCTGAAGACATTATGCTAAGTGAAATTTCTTGTTGTTGGTAAGTGCCATCAAAATGGTTCTGACCCTGTAGAGTTTCTAAGGAGCAGCTGGTGGGTTTGAACTACTGGCCTTATGAATTACAGTCTAGTGCTGATGCTATAGACCCACCACAAAGTCCTAAGTTTTCTAAATGAAAAAAGCAGTAACTCAATGAGACTCCATACTGAAAAGTGAAGCTTTCTAAACCTCATTTCCTGGGAGGCATTTTAAAAGCTCTCAGTATGGTGCTGAGGTGGGGATTCTGCAAGGTGAGTTTCAGCAGGCACAGTGCACCTCCACCCACTCACCCCACAATCACAATTCATGGGGCAGAAAGCTTGGGGAAAACACTCCTGGTTCTCAACCTCAGGGCTGGGTTATCAATGTATAAAAACAAACTAAGCAGTTACCACCCACATGTCTGCCTAGCACTAGCAGTCTTAAGAATAAATAGTGATGAGTGCTCTGTTCTACATTTTAGTTTCTGGAATAGGGGTCTGAAAAGCTTGCAAGTGAACATCCAAAGCACAACAGTTGGTTTCTAGTTAGTCACCTGGAGCAACAGAGGGAAGAGAGTCAGGAAGAAGAAGAGGATAAAGCATGTGTGGCTGATTTCCTCTATGAGCAACTGCTCTCACTGCCATGTGACCAGAAGAACTGGATGGTGCCTGGTTACCAGCTGATCCGCAGGAGAAAGATGAGGCTTTCTGCTCCCGTAAAGATTTACAGCCTCAGAAACCCTGTACAGGGTCGCTATGAGTCAAAACCGACTCCACAGCACACCACCACCACAGTTAACAAACATTTTGATGCAAGATTCCATAGACGAATCTTTATCAAAAGGGATAAAATGCAGAACACAAATTCAAAATTTCATGGATTCTGGACTTTCTGGACCAATGGATGGTAGATGAACCCCTGAAACTACTGCCCCAAGATAAGCTTTAAATATTAAACCAAAATTATTTCCTGAAGTTATTTTAAAACCAGACAATAAATTTAAGCTCATGGCACTTAACAAGTTTAAAAAATTATCTGTTTTGAGCATTATGCCCTTTTAAGAACTATAGCGCTGTGGGTTAATGAGCTGGACTGCAAAGTCGGTCGGTCGTTCAAGCTTGGAAACCCTATACAAGGTCGCTATGGGTCGGAACCGACTCGATGGCACTTAACAATATAGGAGTCCTGGTGTGGCGCTGTGGGTTAATGCACTGGGCAGCAAGGTCGGTTTGAACCGCAGGGTTAGTTCAAACTCACCAGTCGCTCCTTGGAAACCATATACAGGATCCACTGAGTAGGAACCAACTCAACTTAACAGCAATTTCGCTATGAGTCGGAACCGACTCCACTGCACACAGCCACCAACAGCAACTACATATAGGATCAAATTAACAAATGCAACTAGAAAGATTAGATAAGAACCTTAGGGGGTCAGCGAGTTTTTATATTAATGAGGGAGGAACAACTCAGAAAAGAGGTGTAAAAACGGTTGCACAAGAAGAAGAATGTAATCAATGTCATTAAGTTGTACCTGTAGAAACTGTAGAATTGGTGTATTTTTGCTGTGCATATTCTCGACAACAACAAAGCAAATAGAATTTGTTGCTGTTGTTATGTGTCATTGAGTCGGTTCTAACTCATAGCGATCCTGTACAGGGTTTCCAAGGACTGTCTGGTGAGTTCAAACCGAACTTGCAGTCCAGCGCATTAACCCACAGTGCCACACCAGGACTCCAAATAGAATTGAGAGAGAAAAATAGCGATGAGTGAATACAAGGGCTAAAGCACGTGGACTGGACCATGTAGAAGACAGTCCAAGCGATATATGGACGGCCAGTTTTCTTCTTTACCCAGATCTTGAAAGAGTTTGAGAATCTCGAGTGGTGGGATCGGGATCCTCGGGCTGACAGCGCCGAGGGGAGGTGGGGGCGCGCGGCATCTCAGACCGTCCGCCCGGGAAGCGGAGCAGAGCGGCCAAAGCATAGGACCCGCCGGGCTCCGGCAGCGCTCGCGTGGGCACGGTCTGTAATGGAGGCGCGGGTTCCTATGCCCGGCCGGGACGCATTCCCAGTCTGCACTGCCTCTCGGGGCGGAGCCCCGGGGCCCAGGCGCTGGGCCGGGTAGAGCCCTGCACTGGGAACCCGGCGGCCGCTGGGAGGCCGCGCACTTACCCGGAGCCTGGGAGCGCCGGCGCGGCGCGAGCCGAGCGGTGAGGGGGCGGACGCACTGCTCCACGCACTGGAGGGCGGCGGCAGGGGTCACTCGGGAGAGCCAGCAGAAAGGACGATCGAGTGTACATGCATCGCGGTCCGCGCCTCCAATTCTAAACGCTCCTAGCGGCCTTTCGGGCGGCGGGGCTCGCACACGTGCGGCGCACCGACGCGCAGCAGCCCGGGTGGCCCCGCCCTCAGGGCGGAGTCCTCTCCTTTCCGTCGGCCCGCCCACCAGTCCCTCCCGAGAGGCGGAGCCTGCGCTCCACCTCCGGCCCCAGCCACCGACCTGGTATAGGGGAAGACTTGGCTGCTTTGAGCCAGTTAGAAACCGAAGAACGGCCTTGGGCACTTGTGTGCTAATCTGCATCTAGTGTCCTTGCCAGCGGCGGGGTGGGCAGCTCACGGGCCCATTCACCCGGGACCTTGACAAAGGCAAAAAATTGCTTATCTTTTATCAAAGGTCTTTAGACAGTCTTTGTTGTTAAGTGCCATCGAGTCGGTTCCGACTCATAGTGACACTGTATAGGGTTCCCAAGGAGCGGCTGGTAAGTTTGAACTGCCGACCTTGTGGTTCAAACCGACCTTGTGATCCGGTGCTTTGTCCCACAGCGCTGCACTAGCAAATACGGTATGAATATAGCTGCAATCTCAGACGGTTTCTTTCTATATAGTTTTGACCCTGTCTTGATACTTTCCACCAGCCAGAGAAGTGAAAAGAATCACTTTAGAGTCTTGATTGCAGAGGATTCAAGAGCACTCATTTTCCTTCTCTGATTTATCCCTCTTGTGCTGGACAGCTTCGGAAAAGGATCCCTTCAAGAAAACTAATTATAGCAAGTAAGCTCGTTTAGTAAAGAAAAATAAATTCTTCATCCCATGCTCTTGAAACACGTTCCCCAATCAAAACCCAGCCCCTAATAGTAATCGACTGGAAGAGATACATACTTGTGTCCATTCCAAAGAAAGGTGATCCAACCGAACGCTGAAATTATAGAAAAATATCGTTGGTATCACATGCAAGTAAAATTTTGCTGAAAATAATTTTAAAACGGTTGCAGCAGCACATCCACAGCTGCCAGAAATTCAAGGTGGATTCAGAAGAGAATGTGATGTCATATGATCTTTGCTGAAAGCAGAGACTATCAGGAAGATTGATTCTGATTTAACAGCGACTCTACTACCATAAGGACAGAGTTGTTGTTGTTGTTGTTAAGTGCCGTCGAGTCGGTTCCGACCCATAGCGACCCTGTACAGGGTTTCCGAGGGTGTAAATCTTTACGGAAGTAGAGAGCCTCATCCTTCTCCCGCGGAACGGTTGTCGTTTCGAACCGCTGACCTTAAGGTTCGCAGCCCAATTCGTAACCACTACGCTACCAGAGCTCCTAAGGGCAGAGTAGAACTGTCCAATAGCGTTTCCAAGGCTGCAATTCTTGATGGAAGCAAACCGCCACACATGTCTCCCACAAAGCTCCTGGAATTAAAAGAATTTGTAAAAACAAGACCAACCTTACAAAAAATATTGAAGTGAATTATTTGGACAGAGCGCTGACGTACATGAAAATAATATCACTTACACATTTGGACAGAGCGCCGACGTACATGAAAATAATATCACTTACACTTACTTAACCCAAGGAGCTCTGGTAGCGTAGTGGTTACGAATCGGGCTGCGAACCTTAGGGCCAGCAGTTCGAAACTACCAGCCGCTCTGCGGGAGAACGATGAGGCGTTCTGCTCCCGTAAAGATTTGCAGCCTCGGAAACCCGGTACAGGGTCAGGGTCGCTATGGGTCGGAACCGATTCGACGGCACTTAACAACAACACTTAACCCAGATCCAGATGTATTCAAAGTAAAACAGATCTTTGTTTGTTAAGTGCTACCGAGTCGGTTCCTACCCACAGCGACCCTGTACAGGGTTTCCGAGGAGCGACTGGTGAGCTTGAACAGCCGGCCTTGCAGTTAAAACCAACTTTGCCTCCGCACTTTAACCCACAGCGCCACACCAGGACTCCAAAATAGACTTTGTTATGTGCTGTGGACCTTGTACAGCGACCCTGTATAAGGTTTCTGAAGCTGTGAATCTTTACGGGAGTAGAAAGCCCGGTAAAAAGTAGAAAGCTCCGCAGAACAGCTGGTAGTTTCAAACTGCTGACCCTGATGTTAGCAACCCGATTCGTAACCACTACGCTACCAGAATTCCTTAAAACAGACCTACAAGACTGAAAATAGAGAACCAGAGCTACTACCGTTGCAACAACAAAAAACCCAAGCAATTAAAAGAGGGAATAATGTATTAAAAAACTTCCAAATGAAGAAGGAAATAAAACGGATTTCAAGGAAACGAATAAACAAACGAAAATAGACATATCTGTAACCCTAAAAATGTTATTGTTGACTCATAGGGTTTCCGAGGAGCCGCTGGTAAGCTTGAATCGCCAACCTTGAGGTTCAAAGCAACCTTGCAGTCCAGTGTATTAACCCACAGCGCCACAGAAGGACTCCTCCAGTTCCTTTTGTTCTCTGTTATTAAATGTAAGTAGAAAATCAAAGGTATAATTTTAAATATCAATTTGTGGTGGGGAGAAATATCCTCAAGTATATAAGTAAGGGCTCCAATGAAGTGGAGGTGACTCTAGCGTGGTTGTTATGGATTCCCCCTCTGCTCTAGAGAGGTTGGTGGTGTTGGGTTGGAGGGTGTCCTGCATCCGCTCCCTGAGCTGCAGCCCCGACCCCCGGCCGGCTGGGGGAGCCCTAACGCAGGGCCGGTGGCTGCGCGGTCCGGGTCTCTCTAAGCCGAGAGGAATAAACCAGCGAGACGGCTAGAGGAAGTTACCGTGGCATCTAGCCCCAAAGCTACAGAGGATTCGCTGGTCGCTGCCATTGCTGACCGGAGCCGGACTCCACAAGCCACGCTGGCTTCCCATGGAGCTCAAGACGCGCGCACGGGCGGGATGCTCTTGGCAACCGAGATCGACGAGCCGCCGGCGTCCTCGGTGAGGCAACACGGCCCTCCCGAGGTAGGTGTCCTCGGTGTCCCCGAGTAGTTGGAACTGGTGGCCTGGTGAGGTGGCACCGATCTCCAGGGGACGTAGTCCCAATGAGGTGGTTTGGGGAGGTGACTTTGGCGGCCCACGGGAGATGGCCCTTTTGACTTCAGTGAAGTAGTCCTTGCCACTCGAGTGAGGTGGTCCCAGAATTCCCGGGGAGGTGGACCTGACGGTCCACTAGAAGTGGCACAGACCTTCCGGGCAGGTGTTCCTTTTGGAGCTGCATGGGACGACTCTCGGGAAGCCTCCCCTGAGAAAGGGTCTGGAAGTGCTCTCCCATCTAGTGGACGCGCTCCGGGAACCCTGTATAAACGCCACTCAGTGCTTCAGTCTGAATGTTTGTCACACTTGTTTTCCTTCTAGTACTGCCCTGAAAGTGCGGACCAAAGGAAGAATGTGGAGGAGAAAAGTAAGCCAACTTCAAACACCTGAGCTCTTTCTGTCCAGCCCTCCCTCCGAAACTCCACCTGCCACAGTTTGCTTCAGAGACGGGTTCTTAGCTTGTTTGCTGTCTTTTAGATGGAATATCTTCTCTGCACACCATGCTTGCGTAATACTAAATACTGATTTTCATTACACACATATTTTGTAAAACATAGGATGCTTTGGAGACGATCACTTCCCGACTTCTGTTTAGTGCAGGGTGTGGGCTCACTGGAGACTTCTGCCGACATACAGGAATCATAAGTGGGAGTCATACAGTTATTTACTGCTGTTACTTCATGCTGTCCTAGTCTATTTCAATGTGACAGAGTAGAACTGCTCCATAGGGTTTCCTAGCCATAAGCTTTCTGGGAGCAGATCACCAGGTCTTCCTACTAGATGGGTCACACTGCCAACCTGTGGGCTAGCAACTTAGTGCTTAACCTTTGTGCTACCAGAGCTCTTTATCAACTCATTAAGTATCAGGAATTGGGAGGGGCTAGTGATCTAGGACAAAGAGCCCTGGCGCAGTAAGTTAAGTCTCAGCTGCTTAAGTCAGTGGTTCGAATCCATCAGCCATTCAGTGGGAGACACACATGGCAGTCTGCTTCCCTAAAGATTATATAGCCTGCTTGTCATTTTACTTTCCTGAGTTAAGCACAGCCAGCGGCTACAGGAAATTAATGAATCTTCAGGGGCTTTTGAAGTGAAATATATTTGGAAATGAGGTGGAAAAGCATGTTAATAGCTGTCCTGTCAAGAGGTCTTGGGTTCTGACCACAGCAAACAGAGACTAAACAGTGGGAAGAGAAAGACTGCCTATATTACCATGTGGCCTTAGGTAAGGCGTGATCCTTAACATTCTCCACGGATGTACAGTCTGTCTGAGAAAGAAAGCTCTAAGTAGTCCACAGCACTTCACGGTCATAACTATTCCAGCTCAATGACTTTTTCCTTGACGATTTGAGAGTGCCCTATGCCTTTTAGTCAAACCCTTCCCTTTTCTACCTTCAGCCTCTTCTGATGTTTAGGTAGTCTCATGCCTCCTGAACTGTCATAGATTCTGATGATAGACTTTTTTCTTTACCCTTGGTGTGCCATTTGGAGTGTTCTTTATAAAAAAGAGAGAAAAAGATTTAAAAAAACAACCTCCCATATCATAAAGGTGCCATTTTGGTAAATGTCATCATTTGACTAAGAATATACTATGCTGCATTTAAATGGTTGTATCTAGAGAACATAATTAAAGAAAAAAGTGAAGACAATTTACTCCCCAAAGTAGCAACCTTCGGTTCTGACTCATTTTGTTGTTGTTGTTAAGTGCCATTGAGTCTATTCTTACCCTTAGCAATCCTGTGTAGGGTTTCTGAGGAGTAGCTGGTGAGCTTGAACCTCCGATCTTGTAGTTCAAACAGCTTTGCAGTCTGGCGCATTAACCTACAGCGCCACACTAGGACTCCATAGCAACCCTATATAGGGTTTCCAAGGCTGTAAATCTTTATGGGAGCAGAAGGCCTCATCTTTCTCCCGCGTAACAGCTGGTAGTTTCAAACTGCTGACCTTGAGGTTAGCAAACCAACTTGGAACCACTATGCTACCAGAGCTCCTTCCCCTATATAATAGTGATGGAGTTTTATATTAATAAAGTTTGATTACATTCCTGCCAATTCTGTTCATGTTTGAAGAAGAAAATAGAGTATGGATAGAGTTAAGCAACATGGATTTTAGTTCCATTTGCAACCTTTTAAAGTATAGGCTGGAGCAAATATTATAATTGTTATAATACCTTTCTTTTTATTCCTTATTGAAGTTTTTTTTTTTTTTTAACATGTAAATAGACACATTCTAGAGTAAGTCAAAATATTTGATACTATAGTTTCCGTTCATGCATGCAGACAGAACGTGTTTAAACATGACTTTGTGATCTGTGGAGGGCTGCAGACAAGTTCTCTCAGTAGTGCACTTGTCTTAGTCACCTTTCTTGTTAAGTGCCACTGAGTCGGTTTTGATTCATAGCAACCCTGTATAGGGTTTCTGAGGAGTGTCTGGTGGGTTTGAACTGCTCACCTGTGGTTAGCAATGCAGTGTCTATCTTGCATCGCCATAGCAGGATTCTATAAAAAAAGGTCCAATAAAAATTAGTGGCTTCTAAGGGGATCTGCTGGGCCAGTTCAGTTAAAGGCAGAGAGGTCAGTTTAGAAGGTTATGGTGATTGTATTGTGGTCTCCAAAGGGTATTCCTGATAGATTTTCTGAACGTACACAGGATGATTGTAGGGGCTTAGTATGAAGAAGTTTTAAGAAACTTGAAAACTGCATTGGTGATAAAAAGGCCAGGAAAACTTTTTTATATCATGACAATACATCTGCTCAATCTTCGAGGGTAGCAAGGGCTGTCCTGTGAGAATTTTGTTGGGAAACTTTACCCCAGCTACATTACATCCCTGATCTTGTGCTTTCAGATTCCCCTTTGTTTCCCAAACGCAAAAAGAGCATTTAAGAGGAATACAATTTGAGTATTTCAAATGAAACTGCTGTTTGATGTGGTGTAAATGGAAGAGTGCAGAATTCTTTTGGGAAAGGTTAGAGAGATGGAAACACTGCCTTCAGAAGTGTATAGACCTAGACGGAGGATATGTCAAGAAACAATAGCTTCACATTTTGATATATTTGTTTAATAAAGGTTTCCATGATTTTATAGCAGGCCCTTTTTATGTACCCTCGTATGTTCTTACCTTTCATTACTGTTTCCTGAAAGCTTTGCATTTTTGGTAAAGAGCCAACTACATTAAGGGACATATTTGTCTAAGGAAGAGCAGACGTGAATCCCAATCATGTTGCTGCCCTGGAGGTCTTGGTTGTTCACCTAATGCACATCCTTTTTATTTTATCCCCTACATCAAGAAGGACCAGTCCTGGGAAAAGGATGTCATGTTTGGTAAAGTGGAGGGTCACAGAAAATGAGGAAGACCCCCAACAAGATGGATTGGTACAGTGTCAGCAGCAATGGGCTCAAACGTAGCAACAATTGGGAAGTTGGTGCAGGACCGGGCAGTGTTTCGTTCTGTTGTACATAGGGTCGCTACAAGTCTGTACTGACTTGATGGCAACTAATAATTACAGTAACAACAAAGCACTACTCAGTTGGGGAATACCAGGAAATGTAATGACTACATATTGAAATGGAATTAGCCACTGTAGCAAATTGGACACAAACTCCTGGCTTTCTTAACTTGCCCAGGAAGAAGGAAACCATGAGTAACCAGAGCAGAATAGCTTGTACACAGAACAGATACTTCAGAATAAAATGTATCTTAACACACTAGGGTAGAGTGGGGAGAGAAAGATATGGCAGCCAGCTGTGGGTCATGTTGCTCCTCCGCTCTTTGCCTAGACACTGCTGTGGGTCTTCAGGGTTCCCAGGCCTACATGGCATGTTCAGAAAGGCACCTTGGCCCACATGGTCAGCAGACATGCAGCTAGAGACACTGGGAAAGAGCAGTACCACAGTGGTTATGTGCTGTGGAGTCAGTTCTGACGCATAGTGTAGGACAGTGGAAAATGTTTCTTTGTCTTTGAAATGTTCTATGTGTGTACTGGAGTCCTGGTATGTCACTGTGGCTTAATGCACTGGACTACAAAGTTGCTTTGAACCGCAAGGTTGGCGGTTCAAGCTCACCAGCTGCTCCTTGGAAACACTATACAGGGTCACTATGGGTTGAGACCAACTCAATGGCACTTAACAACAACAATGTATTTTCTTAAATTTATTTTGTTTAAGCAAAAGTGTAAATGTTTTTATTTATCTGTTTGAATCTTACCTCATTCTACAATGAATTGGTAGTAACATATTACTTAAAAAGAAAAAGAAAAAGAGGAGCCCTTATGGCTCAGTGAGTTAAGCATTAGGCTACTAACTGCAAGGTTGATGGTTCAAACCTACCAGATGTTCTGAGTCCTAGTGGCTATGTAGGATAAGCACTGGACTGCTAACCACAAGAGCAGCAGTTCAGATCCACCAGCAACTCCTCAAAAGAAAGATGAGCCTGTCTACTTCCGTAAAGATTTATAGCCTTGGAAACTCTATACAGGGTCACTGTGGGTCAGAATCAACTTGATGGTTGTGGGTTGTTTGCCTTTATGGTACATGATTATAACTTAATAAGCATCCTGGCTAGTGGAAAAGCTTATAGAAACTTCAAGGGTAAAAAAATTGTTCGATGAAACACAAGAAATGATCTCATTTTAAGTACAGACTAAGAAGTGGACTGTTTGGGGAACTTCACAGACTCAATGAAATGAGAACATACACTATGCAGTGGTCCTCCCTCTCCGGGTGTTTGTTCTGTTTGAGTAAATGTTGCCTCTGCTCCACTATTCTCCTCAAGAATGGTTCCAGGGTTCTAAGTCATGTATGTTTGTCACGTGGGATAAATCCTGTGGGAATACTTGTCTTTTCTCTCTCTTTCTCTCTTTTGGTCAATGAAGCATTTTTAGTTTAGACCATATTGTTCAATGATTACATCAGCTAGTTTTATTTGGTCAGAGTACTGTATAGTTTTTTTCTTAATTTCTGACTTGGACAACTTTGAACAATGTCATTTGAAACTACAAATTGTTTTACTCTTAAATAAGAAGAATTTCTAACTCATTGGTCACCCTTTTCATTTTTTTCAGTACTTTTTTTTTTTTTTTTTTAATATTTTAAAGCCAGAGTCCTCTTTTCGTCCTAAACTCAATTGATTCTTGAGTTGATTAGAGTTGATACTTGAATCATGTGGGTCACAGTAGAACTGTGCTCCACAGGGTCTACAAGATCTAAACTTTGGAAGGAGATCTACAGATCTTTCTCCCAAGGCCCCCCACCCCAGGTGAACCCTTTTGGTTAGCAGTACAGCATGCTAATCATTTACCCTACCCAAGAACTCCATTAAAAAAAAAAAAAAAAATCTAGACTCTACCACCTGGTAATCAATTGCTTTTGAATTATGAAAAGGTGTTACTAATATAGTAAAAATGGCATTAATAAAATCAGATTTGACTTTTTAAGAAATAGATTCTTAAGCTATGACGCCTTCTGGGAAGCTGTAATGATGCGTTTGTGCCCACACTGCCATGTCAGCATCTATTGAAATTCCTAGTTACCAGGTTTGGCTTTAGGGATTTTCCTGGGCAGATTCACTGGACTCAGAATTCCTTTACTCGGAATTTCCTCAGAATAAAGTTCCTTAAGCATTTTGTAGTATTTGATTGATAGATTGCTTGGGTATTTTGTATGTATTTACTGGATTTGAATGATCAACTCTACTGCCTTGTATAACTTTTGTGTTTAACATCACAGTACCTACTAATGTTGAGTAATTCTTACTATTGTATTTTAGGTCCCATACATACGGCAGCTCTTGTTGGAAGTGAACAAGTCATCGAAAGTACAGATAATGGTGATCTCTCATCCTATGTGTCTGAGTTCATAGAAAAGGAAGTTGGAAATGACCTTAAATCTTTAAAGAAACTTGATATACTCATAGGACAGATGACAGAAAGTAAAATGCAGTTAGAAGAACAGGCAAGTATTAAAACTCATGGAAATAGTTACCAAAGTAATGAAAAGTGTAATATGAACATGGCCACAGGAAAACATAAAAGCAGTTATTACATATGGAATTTTCAAGCTATACTGTGACAAATAATCTAATTATTCAAAACTGTTTAACAGACTTTAAAGACACAGGATGTGCTATTTTATAAATTATGTAGAAGACAAACTATACCTACTGGCATATTTGATGTCCTGAAAACATAATGATACGTGCCATTTTTAAGTAGCTGTTAAAAAATTTGTTAAAAAAACTCATTGTAGTAAAATACATATAAAAAAGGAATTTCTACTTTAACAAATTTTAAGTGTACAGTTTAGTGACATTAATTATATTTACCATGTTGTACAGCCATCACCACTATATCTAAAAGTTTTTTATCACGCAGGAGGGAAAACAATAATTCCTAGTCCCTTCCCCTGCTAAGACAGTGATATTGAGAGTGCTTTTACAAATAAATAATTTCCTGGCATGGGAAAATGTTTAAACATTCACTTGAAACACTATTTATTATGCAAGATTAACAGCATCAAAAACCCTATGCAGGGTCACTATAGGTCGGAACCAACTCATTGGTGCTTAACAACATTATACAAGAGGGCTTCAAAAAGTTCATGAAAAAATTCTATTATCTTTTAATTCCATTTTTTCACAAACTTTTTGAAGTCCCATAAGGTATGTATTAGGAAAAATGTGAAAAGAAATATAACATTTTGATAATAATTTCTGGGTCATTGGTTTCAGCTGATTTGTTTTCTTCATATCTTTCTATGTTTCCCAGTTTTTCTTTTTACAGTGAGCATATATTACTTAAAACTTTTTAGAAATCCAATGATTGTGATTTTAAGAAATTAATAAATGGTTCTCTATACTGGCTTTGTAGGATAAGCACTAGACTGCTAACTTCAAGGTTAGCAGTTCAAACACACCAGCCTCTCCTTGGAAACCCTACACAGGGTCACTGTGAGTCAGAACCAACACGATGGCACTTAACAACAAGAGCAGCAAATACTTGAACTAGGACCCCTAGTTGCACAGTGTTTAAATACGCAACTGCTAATTGAAAGGTCTGCAGCTTGATCCCACCAGACTTTCCTCAGGAGAAAGATGTAGCAATTTAATTCCCACTGCCTTGGAAACCCAAACCCAGTTCTGCTCTGTGCTGAGGGCTGCTGTGCATTGGGATTCACTCCCTAGCAGTGGGTTTAGGGTTTACTTGTAATAGGGAGCTTGGGCTCATGTGTCATTGCTTGGGCTCATGGCTGCTAACCAGAAGAGTGGTGATTTGAACCCGCCAGCTGCTCTCCGAGAGAAAAGATCTGGCGGCGATCTGTTCCTGTAAAGATTGTGATGCCTGTTGTTAAGTGCTGTCGAGTCATTTCCGACTCATAGCAACCCCTGTATAGGGTTTCTAAGGAGCGGCAGTTAGCAGTCTGGTGCTTATCATACAGCTAAGGAAGGTTTAGGACTGTTTGGAAAAGTTTATCTAACATTTGTAATGGAAAACACTTTACCATCCCCTGGATAAGGAGCCCTGCTGTTGCAGTTGTTAAATGTTTGGTTTCTACCCAAAAAGTCTGCGGTTGAAACACACTAGCCACTCCATGGGAGAACGCTGTGACAGTCTGCTTCCTTAAAGAGGACAGCCTCGGAAATCCCACAGGCAGTTCTACTGTATCCTAAAAGGCCACTATAAATTGTAATGGATTAGACAGCACACAACAACATACTTGTAATAGTGTTTGTCAAAGAAAAGTACAACTACTAAATTCAATGTGGGTATGTTGATGTGTAAATGCCTGGGTGGTGCAAACAGTTTTGAGATTGGCTGCTAACCTAAAGATTATTAGTGTGAGATCACCCAGCAGCGTGGTAGAAGAAAGGCCTGGCAATCCGTGTTTGTAAAGATTACAGACCAAGAAAAACACTACCAACTGTATGGAGCAGTTCTCTGTACCGCACGGGCTGCCCTGAGTGGGAATCCACTTAGTGGCAGTGGGTTTGGTTTTGATGTTGGTGTGCTGTCCCTCCCCAGTCCCCTGAGTCTCCACATCTTGCAGTCTTTCTACCATCCCTACTGTAGTCCTGCCCTGTCTGCGTCTTCTACTTCTGCTGGCAGGTTGTTGTGGGCCCTGTTGGAGGAAATTGATGCCAGCCTAGATTGCTGCCATTGACTGAGTCTTCAGCCCTACCTGGCGTCCTCCTATGGTACCTTGTTAGTGCTTCTGCTACTCCCCTTCAGCTCTTCTAAATTCTCCCCAAGACAGCTACCCCATTCCCATCACCCTCCCTTCCCAGTCAGAAACAGCTGAAGCCTTCTAGCAGCATTTCCTCAGCAGTCTAACCCCAAACTCATTGCAGCCATTTTTACCTCTTAATTCAGTAGAGGATCAACCTAAGGTGGTCTTTATGCTCCAGATGCTACCTGCCACCACACTGAACATCCTTCTCACTTTAATCAGTTCATTCTTTGCTCCTCTTCCAGTTCTGTCCCCTCAGCATGTGGACACGTACAGATCTGTTCCTTCAAACATAAACAAACCCTCCCCTCGTGTCCTAGTAGGTGTCAGTTCCTTCCTTTGGCTGCCTAGCTTCTTCAGAAAGTCCTCTTATTTGATGTCCACTTCCTGATTTTCTTTTATCCTGTTGTAATAGGATTCATTGATGACCTCTGAAATATGGCCCTCATTGAAACTTACATTCTGCATGTCTAAAATTGTACTGATCCATTTCTTGAAATGCTTGTTTTATCTTGCTTATGGTACCACTTTCTGCCTATCACTGAAACCTAAAACCTGGGAGTTGTCCTACATTTCTCACCCTCACCCCATCTCTAATCTCCTTGGTCACTAGTCTGAGTTCTGCTTCCTTTCCACCACTTTAGTGGAAGTCTTCATTCTCTCTTGCATTTGGAGGTGGTTTGCTGAATAGGGTTTCTGAGGAGTGGCTGGTGAGTTTGAACTACCGACTTTGCAGTTTAAACCAACCTTGAGGTTGAGTGCTTATCATAGAGCACCACACCAGAACTCTCCATGGCTCCCTGGAAAATTGCTCCCCACTCTACAAAGGTTGGTACTTGATCTATGCAAGCAGAATTGCCTAGTAGCTCAAAACTTGCTACTTAAGAGCTTATCAGAGATTCTGGTCCTACTGATACAAATGAGCTCTAACAACATCCATCCCTAATGATGTGTGTGTACATTCAAGTTTGGGGAGTGTGGTGCTGTAGGATGGTAAATGGAAGGTTGGCAGTTCAAACCACCAGCCACTCTCAGAACCTATACAGGGTCACTATGAATTAGAGCCAATTCCATGGCACACAACAACAGCCTTAGTATACCACTACACATTTTAACTGAATTAATCACAAGGGTGAAATTATTTGCTTATGTCTCCCATATGAGAGTGAGCTTAGGACAGATGCCGTGTCTTCTTTATCTATGTCTCTAGTACAGTGCCTGGTACAGAGTATATATCTAGTGAAATCACTATTGAATGGATTGAATATTGTCTATAACATTTGTTATACTAGACTGATGCCTAATATTTGTATACATTTTTCTATAGCTTATAAGAAAAATTCATTTAATAAGTGCCACATCTCAGGACATTACCTAACGTCATCTTTCCAAGTCAGTGGTTTTTTGCCTGGGCTTAAATCCTGATTGCCTGGGGGAATTTTGCAACATACTGATACAGTGAGTCCCTGACTTAACACATTTGAATTATATCAGATAGTCTGGTTTTTGCACATCTTTTTGCTAGTAATATATATTGTATACAATGTTAACAGCATGGAATTTGCTTATGTTATCATTCTCACATGTTTGCTTGCAGATATTGATAATAAAAGGCAATAATAGTAGTTGGGCTCACAGAGTGAACTGTTGTTTTGTAATTATTTGGAATTGTTACATTGTGGACATCTGGTCAAATTAGTAATTATTTCCAATATTTTAATATCTGGTGTAATTTTTGTCCCGGCATACCTTGCAATAACATTTTACCCTGTTCTCACTGTCATAGAATAGATGTAAATCTAATGTCTCAGAGGGTTACATCACATTAGTAATGTGATGATGAGATTAAACTTGGTTTACTACTCTACCGTTTAAAAAATTTCTGTTACCAAAGGGATAACTTTCAAGTGCTTGATTATCAAGATAAATTATGTTTGTCAAAGCTTTTATCAGTTCTATGTCCAATGGTGAATATTTTGTTTGATCCCTTTACATATTCTTTGCATTACACTAGAAGTAAATTTAATATTTTCTATCACATTATTCTTGAATTGGTTTTATATAAATTGTGCATACACTAGTAAATATGGAACATTCTTTAAAAAAAAAAGGCAATAATAATGAAAACTAAAGTCAGAACTGACTCATGACAAGAGTGGTTGGAATTGACCCTGTTGTAAGTTGGGGGCTATTTAACTCTGTTTCTCCTCCAGACTTTCCAAAGAAAAATAATGAGTAGCCAGCAGCATATCAGTCTCTGGAAGTGCTGAGTCTCTGGAAGAGTGTAAGGCAGATACCACAGATGCTTACTGGACCCAGTGTACAAGATGCCTCCCAGGCACCGACACACACAGCATTTAATGTTTGAGTTTGGTTAGCACCAACTCTTTGAAACTCATTGCTATCAAGTTGGTTCTGACTCAGTTATCTGGTAGATCAGAGTTGAACTATTTCACAGGGTTTCTAAGGTTGTACCTCTTTATGGAAGCACATGGATTCATCTTTCTCCCATGGAGTAGAGCTGGTGGACTCAAACTGCCAACCTTTTAGTTAGGAGCCAAGCACTTAACCACAGTACCAGCAGGGCTACTCTCGTTAGCACAGGGTGAAGAAATCAGTCCTTTGAGTTCTTAACTGACAGTTTTCAGTTCGATTAGAACAAATGTCTATTTTGAAAGTAGGTAATGAATTACTAAGATTATGAAAATTTTTATCTTATTGTTGCTATTTTTTGTTTTTGTTTTTTAAATTTGGTCAGGTACTTACAATTTCATCAGAGATACCTAAAAGAATTCAAAGTGCCTTAAAAAATGCAGAAGAGTCAAAGCAATCCCTTAATCAGCTTCTAGAGCAAGAATCGCAGCTCTCTAGCGCCATTAATAGTCACTTACTGACCGCACAGCCTTGGATGGATGAGCTTGGGACCATGATTAACCAAATTGAAGAGATTGAACGGCATCTCGCTTACCTAAAATGGATTTCACAAATTGAAGAACTAAGGTAGAGTGTGCCTCTTTGTTTCCATAATTATTATTTTCCTTTGAGGCTTCTGTTTCAAAGAGGGCATGTGTGCCATTAAATAATTGAGTTAATTAAAGATTATAATAATACAGTTTTACCAGTTGTTAGGAAAATAGCATTATGATAATGATTCTTTCCCTTTATTGTGAATGAACATAAACTTTGCAGGGAGCTTAATTTGCATTTGAAAGAAAGTAAGATCTAAGCAAGTAAAGATTTTAAATCCCATAGTTGTATTGTGGACACATGATGAAACTATTATTTATAATGCCAAGTTAGTAAATAAGCCCTCAGTGTGATGATATTGCTGTTTACTTTTATCTTTTAGATACCACCATGAAATGCTTTCTATATAATTTGAAAGTTTTTTTCAGTGATAAGCATCTATTAAGACTACAAAATTTTCTCAGATAAATAACACTGACTTCAGCTACCTGTGGGTTAAAAAAAAAAAGAAAATAAAGACTTGATCGTGGTTCTTTCAGAATGATATACCGTATCTCTGGTGGTTGATTGTGAACATCTGGTATTGGTTCTTCAAATAAGATGAACATTCTCAACCTACATTTTCAGATGGGTTCAGTTTCATGATATGGTCCCCTATCGCTCTCCACATTGTACTGTTCCTATAGTAATTTAGTGACACTTGCTCCAAAGCTGTCAGCAACCATTAATGTTTAGATTACTTGAGGGAGAAAAATCATTGGAGAGAATCTTCATGTTTGTTTCAAATGTGTCAGAGTTAGTATATTTTGTTATTTTTTCAGAAGGGTAATGCTGTATCCCTTTGTTCTACATGTTTCCCAAGATTTAAAGAATTTTACAAATCAGTACAGTATAAAAATCTTTGTTTTACCTATGGTGGTGGTTATGTGCTGTGGAGTCAGTTCCAACTCATAGTGACGCCATATGGAGTCTCTGAAGCTGTAAATCTTTATGGGAGCAGAAAGACTCATCTTTCTCCCTCAAAACGACTGGTAGTTTCGAACTGCTGACCTTGAGGTTAGCAGCCCGACTCATAACCACTATGCTACCAGTGCTCCTTTGTTTTACCTATAGAAGTTTTACATTTAGAGAAAAGGTGATTTACCGAAGATTCTAGTGTTACTAGGGATTCTAGAACTGACTTAAGCATTTTAGAGCATCTCATCCTTATTATTTTTATCATTTTTTAATCAAAAGAAATATTTCACTGTTAAAATAAAATACTTGATTGTAGAGGGCTAAAAAGGAAAGGGGTGACTTATGGACTGAATTTGTCCTAAGGGCATACTCTATTTGGTTGTGTTTTAAAGAATTTTGTTAATTGACCTGATTTTATATGGAAATCTGGATTTCTGACTTCTCTCAAAAGTTAAAGATTTATCCATGTTGGACTCATGCTCCAATGTGGCCATAATTGGCTGGAGTGTTAGGATGGTAAATGTAGTGTTTTGTTTTCTCCCATCCCCACCTGTATTTTACCTGTCAGCCTGTGGAGGCACTTGAGTTTTCCATCCCTGATTTAGAGCTTGCCTTGAATTTTACCTGAAACTTCACTAGTAGTAACTCAACAGGGTCAGCTCTGAGGTGCCACCTCCTTAGTTTCCTAGAGTAAAGATCATCTGGGCCAAGTATGGAAAAAGTGGAGATCCTCAAAAATTTCTTCTTTAAAATTCTGATCAAAAGGGGGAGACCTGGGGATAGAGCTTCAAATTTTCATCAAATCCATGTTTTCTGGAGCCATTGAGGCTGAATGACCCCCCAAAACTATTGCCTGGAGGAAATACGTAAACCTCAAACTATCCACTGAAGTCATCTTAAACTAAATAATAGTTTAGCTTCACTTGAAGAATTACTTATATGAAATCAAATTGACAATGGTGAGTTTGTGTTGATGAGGGTGAAACAATTTATAAAAGGTTATCAAGAAAGGTAACACAACTTGAAGACTGTAACCCACGCCCCTGAATTGTACCTCTAGAAATATATGTATATATATATTCACCACCACCCCAAAAACACCTCCCATCAAGGAACAATATACGAACCCATTTGTGTTCAAAGTCAAAGACACTCAAAAGTGGACAAAATATCTCTGGGAGAATATAGAAGAACAAAATTACATTTGGGGTATAGAAGTAGAGAGCACTCAAAGGACTTTTACTTTGGTCTTAAGCAATGATTACTTGTATAAATTAAAAAGTGTTTGTTTTCATTCAAGTACTCTGTAAAAGAATTAAAATTTCTTCCCATCCCTTTCCAGCCCCAAATTTGACCTTAATAGATTTTCCACACATTATTTATTTCCTTGGATTGAGATACTGAGCACTTCTGTAAAAGAAAGGTGTTACCAGAAATGAGTGGTACCTGAGGGATTGTAAGCCAGGACAGGTCAGTTCTGTGAGGTGGAGTGGGAAGGGAGGCGTCCTGAGGGATTGTAACCCAGGACAAGTCAATTCTGTGGGAGGAGTAGGAAAGGAGAGACAGAGGTCAGTTCTGCGAGGAGGAGTGGAAAAGGAGATGTGGAAGGAAGTGCCCGGAGCCTAAGAAGGATGCTGAAGTTGAGGACCTCCGATTCCCAAACAGTCTTGAGTATCAGGTAAAAAACCACTTCAAAGTGGTGTCTCATTCTTCCTTGATGTAACTTTAGTTAAAAGAGGAGGGAAAAGCAGTGTTTCTGGATTTAAGCTTATTTTGAACAAAGTTTGCTTTGCCCTGTTTTATAGTGATAACATTCAACAATATCTGATGACCAACAATGTGCCAGAGGCAGCCTCTACTCTGGTGTCTATGGCAGAACTTGACATCAAGCTTCAGGAATCATCCTGTACTCATCTTCTTGGTTTCATGAGAGCTACTGTTAAATTCTGGCATAAAATTCTCAAGGACAAGCTTACAAGGTAGGGAATTTACCCATATTTCACGGTATTTGCTTTTAGGTGGATACTTGTTGATCCATGTACTTCATTGAATTATATGTGTTACTTTTCTGTTACAGTGATTTTGAGGAAATATTGGCACAGCTTCACTGGCCATTCATTGGACCTCCTCAGTGTCAAACTGTTGGCTTAAGTCGACCAGCCAGTGCCCCTGAGATATACACTAACCTGGAGATTTTGTTTTGTCAGCTTATGAAACTGCAAACCTCGTATCTTTATTAGAGTTGAAAACTTACTAACATATCTTTTTTCAAGAGTGGATTTGTGGCTAGAGAATAAAAGTTTTTGGAAGTAACCAAGAAAACAAATTGGAGGCCTGGGTTTAGACCTAGCCTGGACATGTCCATCAGGTGGTGTCTTGTCCTCTTTCAAAGTGAAGGCTACTTGGGGAGGAGTCTGTGGGCAGAGGTCTGAACACAAGACTGGCCAAGTTTGCATCACAATGCGTCTCTTAGGATAGAGAAAAATAGGCAATTGGGAGAAAAGCTTACTAATTTAGTGTTAATTTAACAAAACAGTTACTTGTATTTGCTTCCTTCCTTATTACCATTCTTCTTTATCTTAGGGAAGACAGATTAATAACATTTTTTGCTGAGTTCCTATTTTAAGTTAGATTACATATTATTATTTTAACAACCTTTACTTAGCATCAGGTGGATCTGTAGAAAACCTCTATTGCACACACAGACAGCCCACACACATATGCTCCCAGTTCTTTTCCTTGACTGACTCTGTCAGAGATGAATTACTTACTGAGCCAAAACAACTCCCAGAGAAATACACTCTACCTGCAGCCTCACCTGTCATCCTGCCCATCCAGATTATGCTGACTCCCCTACAGAAGAGGTTCAGGTATCACTTCAGAGGGAACCGGCAGACCAATGTTATCAGCAAGGTGTGCTTTGCCACCTCTTGTCCTTGGTTTTTATTAATACCAGATGTGGAAGGCTTCTGTACTTTTGCTGGTTTAAGTTAAAATCTGATTCTCTTCACATTTCTGTTTTCGTTTTTCTCTAAAAAGTGCAAGTCCTGTTTTGTCACCACCCCTGGAGATATATTTTAGAACTTATGGTTGATACGTTACAGGAATCCATGTACTCATTAACACATCGTCTGACCAGTTCCTCAACTTTCCCAGTGGGTGTGCTGAAGCATTTGGCCTGGCAGTTTTTAGAGATAAAGCCAGAATGTATTTCACTGTGCAAATTGCTCCTTCAGGTTTATAGATGTTTACAAATGGCTGTAGCACTATGTCCGCCGAGCCTGCTCGGTGCAGCTCCTGATGCTGCAGACTGCTCACTACTCATTCTGTTTTCCCAGCTTCTGACACACAGTAGGGGTTTATCATTCAGTGGTTTTGAATCACTGTCCAACAAGGTGTTATAGAAACCTCTCTAGGGACAATGTGACATGCTGCACACCTGCATTTCCTTTTCTTTAATTTTACATGTTTTAAGGCATGTGCATTTTTTGTAAGGCAGACTAGCATTTGGTCTTAATTTGCCTTTTGAAAAGAAAGAAAAAACTGAAGGAGAAAAGTCTTTAAAAATTTTTTTGAAAGCTATTTCAAAATAAAAATTTAAAGGCTATCAATTCTTTGTAATACTCATTTCCTATTACTAAATGATTAGACTTTGAAGTATATGGCATTGTAAATGTATGAGTTTTTGGACTATGTTACTGGAATTTTCTGGGTGTATGTTATGAAACATTTGATATTACGCCTTGTCTGAGTTCAGAGTAGAAATTATGCTTTTACATAGAGGTCTTTCAGCTAATTTTTGTGAGTGCTTTGTTTTTACATTTACTACATGTTGATGTTATGTGATATCAAGTCAGTTCCAACTCAAAACGACCCTTGTGTAGATTTCAAGGAGCAGCTGGTGGGTTTGAACTGTTGATCTAGTGGTTCGCAGTCCAGTGCTGATTCACAGCACCACACCAGAATCATCTCATTGCAACTTTACAGTTGGTATGACTTTTGAGAATGTAAACTATTTGACCTTCATCCTTAGCCTGAATGGTACCTGGCTCAGGTGCTTCTGTGGATTGCAAACCACACTGAGTTTCTGGATGAGAAGATCCAGCCGATATTAGACAAAGTGGGCTCCTCGGTAACTGCCAGGGTAAGAGACTCAGCCTCAGCGCTTCCGTTGTAGAGTTGTGCGTGCTTGTGAATAACCTGTCATTTATTTACTCGGTGACTATGTTTTCCTTTCAGTTTGAATTTTCTCGGGGCCTTATGCTGCTGGTTCTTGAGAAGCTAGGTTCTGATATTCCTTGCCTGCTGTATGATGACAGTCTCTTCTGTCATTTGGTGGATGAAGTGCTTTTGTTTGAAAGGGAGCTCCACAGTGTTCACAGCTATCCTGGCAGCTTTGCTAATTGTATGCATATTCTATCAGAGGAAACGTGTTTCCAGCGGTGGCTGACTGTGGAGAGAAAATGTAAGTCCCAGTGTGTCCATTGGTGGGGAGAGATGTCTGCTTCGGTGTATATGATGTTTTCACATTTTCCTCCTCCAGTTCTGGGTAGGACCCAGAGCCATGTAAATTGTTCTTGGTTAAGGTTTACCAAGTTGCTTCAGTGATCATCTTCCTTTCTTCATCGAGTTTCAGAATCTCTTGCAATTATACTCTACACGTTTCTAGAGAGGAATATTGAAGCCAGTTTGGTGTAGAACTGTAGAATTTACATATAGCATTTTTGCTCTTAATATAATCTTTTTTACCTATAGCTTGTTTAGTCAAGATAACTATTTGGTAGATTTGTTGGTAGTGTCTTGTTTAACTCTAAAATATTGTTGTTAAGTGCTCTTGAGTCAGCACCCCTGTGTAGGGTTTCCAAGGAGCAACTGGTTGGTGGGTTTCAACTGCCAAGCTTTAACTTGTGGTTAGCAGTCCGGTACTTACCCTGTAGCCCACACCAGGACTCCAACTCCAAAATGGCCGTGGTGGTACTTGTGTGCCATGGAGTCCGTTCCAACTCATAGACCTTGTAAAGGGTTTCTGAGACTAAATCCTTATGGGAGCAGAAAGCCTCATCGTTCTCCCAAGGAGTGACTGGTAGATCAAACTGCGGACCTTGCAGTTAGCAGCCTAACTCATACCCACTGTGCTACTCTAAAATAGAACATGTTAAGTGTAGCACAACCAGTGGGAGGACATGAAAGGAGCCCTGGTCGTGTAGTGGTGAAGCACTCATCTGTTAACCGCAAGCTTGGCAGTTTAAACCCACCAGCTGCTCTTCGGGAGAAAGATGTTGTAGTCTGCTTCCATATAGACTTACTGACTTGGAAACACTATGGGGAAGTTGCCTTCTGTCCTGTAAGGTCAGTGTGAGTTACGTGACTTAATGACAATGAGTTTGGTTTTTGGTTTGGTAGGTTTATTTTTTTTTTATAGAAAAATCATCGTTCCTCAGAAACAATTAAGTTGAAAAGTGAAGAGTTGACTGTCACTTTAATTGTCCTAATTCTGTTTTCTGCCTGCTAGTCGCTCTTCAAAAAATGGACTCAATGCTTTCATCAGAAGCTGCCTGGGTATCCCAGTATAAGGACATCACGGATGTGGATGAGATGAAAGTCCCAGACTGCGCAGAAACGTTTATGACTCTCCTCTTGGTTATAACTGGTAAATATATCCAGCTTAGAAGACAGGACTTTGCTGCTTCAAGTACTGACTTTTCGTTTGGTACTTTTTTCAACTTGTTTAATGAAATTAATGTTGTTATTGTTAAGTGCTGTCGAATCAGTTCCAACTCATAGCAACCCTGTACAGGGTTTCTGAGGAGAGGCTGGTGGGTTTAAACCATCACATTGTGGTTCACTGACCTTTCAGTCTAGTGCTTATCCCACAGCGCCATGGTAATTATTACACTGTCTTCAAAATCTGTTTTGATTTTAGCATAAACCTTGCACAATAGACTCTGGGTTTTTTAATAATTTAAGTAAGAATTTAAATATAGGTGTACTTGAAGAAACACCTCCTGGATTGTTTTACATAAAAACAAGTAAGAATTTAATTTTATTACCTTAACTCTCTTATCATTCATCTTTGTAAATGTCTTCAGTAAATGGTGACTGATATGAATTTTGAACACTGTTTCCTTGGCCTTGATTTCTCAAAGATGAAAGATGAGAGTAAGACAGAGCAGTAACCTCCAGACTGCAGTGACCTTTCACACAGTGCAGGGATTTCCTGGTCAGTGGGTGGCCCCGCAGCCTCTGGTCCTGTGGTTCTCCTGGTACCACCTTCCTCCCCAGGCCTGTGCAGTAGTAACCTGAAGAAATCATTAGTCAGTAAAGAAGTCCTATTGTTAACTGTATGGAAAATAGGGAAAACTCTGTAACACAAGAAAATTAAGGTAAAATCCATGTGCCTTTTAAAAACTTTTTATTAGAAAAATTTTCCAAGTAGAATAATCCAGTGAACCCTCAGGTACCTGTTAACTAAGGTTCAAAACATGATCCCTTTTCTAGTATGTAGTTTTCTTTTTCCTGAAATATTTTAAAGAAATTTTCTGACATTTTTTCATCTATACTGGGTATGAATTGTTTAAGTGTGTATTTTTTTAAAAAAACATCTATTACAGTTCTCCTTTTTTCAACATGACATTTGTTGAATTTTGGAACTTAAAATTTTTCTTACTTAGGGTTTACCTGGTTGCCTTCTGAGGTGACCTTATTTTCTCTTTTTCCTATCAAACTTCAGTTTTTCCTGTTGTTAGATGCTGTCAAATCGGTTCCAACTCTGTGTACAACATAACTGCCCGTCTTGCACCAGCCACACGATCGTTAAGTTTGAGCCCACTGCTGCTGCCACTGTGCCATTCCATCTCATTGGAAATCGTCCTCTTTTTCACTGACACTTCACTTCACCAAGCATGATGTCCTTTTCCAGGGACTGGTCCTTACTGATACATGTGCAAAGTATGAGAGACAAAGCCTTGTCATCCTGGTTTATAAGGAGCATTCTGGCTGTACTTTCTGCATCATTCAATATTTTTTGTGTAGAATTCTTGATATTGTAGGTTGAGGCTTGAATTTTGTCTTTAGTTCTTTCAGCTTGTGAAATGCTGAGCGTGTTCTTTCCTTTTAGTTTTCTAACTCCAGGTCCTTGCACGTTTCATTATAATACTTGATTTTGTCTTCTCGAGCTGCTCTTTGAAATTTTTCTGTGTAGCTCTTTTTCTTTCTCATTGCTTATATTTGCTTTAGTGTTTCTACACGTGACAGCAGGATTCAGTACATTTTGGTCTTTTCTTATCTGTATTTTAAATGACCTTTTGCGTTCTTCCTGTATGATGTTCTTGATGTCAGCCCACATCTCCTCTGGTCTTTGGTCATTAGTGTCTAATGCATCAAATCTGTTCTTGAGACGATCTCTAAATTAAGGAGGGATATAGTTAAGATCATATTTTGGCTCTCATGGACTTGTTTTAATTTTCTTCTGCTTCATCCTGAACTTGCATATGAGCAATGATGGTCTGTTCCAGATTCTGCCCCTGGCCTTGTTGTGGGTGTTGACATTGAGCTTTTCCACTGTCTCTTCCCACAGATATAGTCAGTTTGATTTTTGTGTATTTCATCTGGTGAGTTCCATATGTATGATTGCCATTTATGTTGTTTTTAAAAGATATTTGCAATGAATGGGTCATTGGTCTTGCAAAATTCTATCATGCGATCTTCAGAATCATTTTTATCACCAAGTCCGTATTTTCCAAAAACTTCTGTTTCCAACCTTTGCAATCTAATCACCAGTAATTAGCAATACATATTGATTGTATGCTTGATCAGTTTTAGACTGAAGTTGGTAGAATTCAATTTCATCGTCACTGGCTTTAGTGGTTGGTGCATAAATTTGAGTAATATTGGTATTAACTGGTCTTTCTTGTAGGCGTATGGATATTTTCCTATTACAGACAGCATTGTACTTCAAGATAGATCTTAAAGTGTTCTTATTGATGATGAATGTTACACCATTCCTCTAGAGTTTATCATTTCCAGCATAGTAAACCATGTGATTGTCAGATTCAAAATGGCCAAGTCCAGTTAATTTCAGGTCACACGTTGGTGTTTCATTTCATTTTTGACAATTTCCAATTTTCCTAGATTAATGCTTCATACATTCCATGCTCCAGTTATTGATGGATGCTTGCAGCTGTTTCTCCTCATTTTGAATTGTGCCCCATCAGCAAATGAAGGTCCCAAAAGCTTTACTCCATTCATGTCATCACGGTCAACTCTAGCTGGATAAGGCAGCTCTTCCCCAGCCTCATTTTCAGTTTATTCCAACCTGAGGATGGCATCTACCGGCACTGTATCTGACACTATTCTGGTGTGATTCATATTCCAGCACTGTATCTGACAGTGCTCCAGTGCTAGTCATAAAGTTTTCAGTGACTAACCATTCAGAAATAGCCTCTTCTTCCTTAGTCTGGAAGTTTTGCTGAAACCTGCCCACTACCACTCTGTCAGTTTGTCATGCTGTGGTGACTTGCTTGTGGTGGTTGCTGTGATGCTGGAAACCATGCCGGCTGTGTGTATAATTTTCTCCTTTTTAAAAATCTGAGGTGTGATTTACATGTGGTGGTGGTTGTTATGTGCCGTGGAGTCAGTTCCAACTCATAGCAACCCTGCACAGGGTTTCTGAGGCTGTAAATCTTTACGGGAGCAGAAAGTCTCATCTTTCTCCTGCAGAACAGCTGGTAGTTTCGAACTGCTGACCTTGAGGTTAGCAGCCTGATTCATAACCACTACGTTACAGATTTATATACAGTGATCTTAAATATACAGTTTGGGAATTTTGACAAATGTATATACTTGTCAAGTCCACATCCTTAGAGAGCTTAGAATTCGACTTAGCCATGAATGGTAAATTGTTTTTTGACAAAGCTATCAAAGTGACTTAATGTGAAAAACCTGTAGTAGATACATTACAGCTAATACCAAAAGTCTTATGTCTTTATAACTTTCTCAACAGACAGGTATAAAAATCTTCCCACAGCTTCCCGAAAGCTGCAGTTCCTGGAGTTACAAAAGGATTTAGTAGATGATTTTAGGATACGATTAACCCAGGTGATGAAAGAAGAGACGAGAGCATCCCTTGGCTTTCGGTATTGTGCAATTCTCAATGCTGTTAACTACATCTCAACAGTGCTAGCAGACTGGGCTGACAACGTTGTAAGTTAATATGCTATTGTATTAAGTCATGTATTAGTAGTTTGTTGTTGTTGTTCCAATGAGCAACTGGTGGGCTTGAGTTGCTGACCTTGTGGTTAGTAGTCCAGTGCTTATCCTATAGCTCCACACTGTTGTTGTTAAGTGCCGTTGAGTGGATTCTGACTCATAGTGACCCTGTATAGGGTTTCCAAGGAACAACTGGTGAATTTGAACTGCCAACCTTGCAGTTCAAACTGACCTTTCAGTCTAGTACATTAGCCTGCAGCGCCACACTAGGACTCCATTAATAGTTTATTAGAATTAACTTACCTTTTAAAACATTAAATCTATCTCAAGAAAAAACTACACATATTGGAATCATAAATGCTGTCAAATTTAGATGTGACTAATGTACACATTTTTCTCCTATATCTCCATACCATTACTCCATTAGTAATTTGTTAGAACGAATTTGCCTTTTAAAGCATTAAATCTATTTTTAAAAAAACTACACATATTAGACAGAATCATAATGCTGTCAAATTTAAGTGTGACTAATGTACACATTTTTCTTAACTAGAAAACCCCTGTGGTTAAGCAAACCTGATATTTTAATGCATAATCATTGGAAAACAATGTTAACCTTCTATGAAATAATTGTTTATAGACTGAACCTTTTGACTTTGTCCTTAGGAAGAAATATTCATGTGGGTAATTGCCATCCCAGATAAAGTTAAGAATAAATGATGGTGTTAAAATCAAGAAAAGCTCGACTTTTTAGGCAAGTGAAAGAATGTCTTCATTTTGTTATGAAGAATCACAACAAGATCCAGAAACATTATTTTCAAATGACCTTATACACTTGAAAAATTGTTGTTGTTAGGTGCCGTTGAGTTGCTTCTGACTCATAAATAGTGACCCTCTGTAGGGTTTCTGAAGAACGGCTGGTGGGTTTGAACTGCCTACATTGCAGTTAGCAGTCCAATGCTTATCCTGTAGCTTCACATCAGGATTAATTATAACATTTTATTTTCACACATAGGCAAAAGTCAATAGTAAAATGAACCCCATGTACCCATCACCCTGCTTGCTGTATGCACTAGCTTTGTTTTCTTCCAGCCCCACACTTGATTATTTTGTAGTAGAGCTCAGATCTCAAATTTCATGGCATATATTTTGTCTAAGAGATAAAACTCTTCTTTAAAGCACATAACCATAATATTATTGTTGTTGTTAGGTGCCATCAAGTTGGTACCGACTCATAGCGACCTTATGCACAGCAGAAACTCTGCCCGATCCTGGGCCAACCTCACAATTGTTGCCATGCTTGAGCCCATTGATGCTGCCACTTTGCCAATCCATCTTGCTGGGGGTCTTCCTCTTTTTCTCTGACCCTCCACCCTAACATACATAATATCCTTCTTCAGTGACTGGTCCCTCCTGACAATATGTCCAAAGTATGAGAGATGAAGTTTGGCCATCCTTACCATTGTTGTTGTTGTTATGTGCTGTGGAGTCAGTTCTGACTCATAGCACTCATAGCTAGACCCTGTATGGGGTTTCCGAGGCTGTAAATCTTTACGGGAGCAGAACGCCTCATCTTTCTCCCGCAGAACCGCTGGTAGTTTCGAACTGCTGACCTTGTTGTTTGCAGCCCGATTCGTAACCACTACGCTACCAGAGCTCCTTATCATTAGCACACCTAAAAAAATAATTATATTAAGTCCACCAAACCAAAACCATTGCTGTCAAGTCAATTGTGACTTATAGTGACCCTCAAGGACAGAGAAGAACTGTCCCATGGGACTTCCCAGGCTTTCAGTCTGTATAGAAGCACACTACCATATCTTTCTTTGCAGGAGTAGTTCTGGGTATGGGAGTTTTTTGAGCAATGAAAATGTTCTAAAATGCATTATGGTGATAGCTGAGTTGTATGCTTTAAATGGATTATAAGTTTTATATTTGAATTATATCTTAAGATGTTAAAAAGAAGAAGAAATATGTTAATTAACATGTTTTTGCTTCCAGTTCTTTCTACAACTTCAGCAGGCAGCACTGGAGGTCTTTGCAGAGACCAACACACTCAGCAAGTTGCAGCTGGGACAGCTAGCCTCTATGGAGAGCTCTGTCTTTGATGACATGATTAACCTTTTAGAGCGTTTAAAGCATGACATGTTGACTCGCCAAGTTGCTCATGTTTTTAGAGAGGTTAAGGATGCTGCAAAATTGTATAAAAAAGAAAGGTGAGTCTTCTCTGTTTTCTTAAAAGTCAACTCCGGTGTGGTGACAGTTAAAAGGTTCCAATTTTCTAGGTAGGATGAGATTTGGCCTCCCAGCTTCACTATTTTTGATGGAAATCTTTCTAAAATATATTATTTCAGACCTTCTTAATAACAGAATAAACTAATTTAACCTTCAGATGTTTGTAAATATCGAGAGGTGTGTTCTGGGGTTGAATGGACTAGCCTGTCACTCACTGTATTTTCAGTTTTTTAGGTATGATTATGGCTTATTGTAATGCTATTTTCTTTTGTACTTTTTATTGTAGTTTGGGTGAAAATTTACAAAGCAAGTTAGTTTTCCATTCAACAATTTCTACACATTCTGTTTTGTGACTTTGACTGCAATCCCTAAATTGTTAACAGCACTCTTACTTCCTCCTGGGGTTTTCTGTTTCCACTTGTCCTTTCCTGACACTTCCTGCCTTATGGGCTTTTTCTGGCAAATGATACCCTTTTGGTCTCATGGGTTTGATTGTACTGAGAGGTGTATTCCTTCCTGGTGTTATGATTCACTCTATAGGCCTGTCTATTGTTTGGCTGAGGTTGATCCTTGGAGGTGGGTTCAGATCCAGGTCTAAAAGGGTTCTGCGGACCTGGTGCCCATTTTACACAGGAAGGTGCTCCTGCAGTTCTGTGCATGCTAGCATTGTACGCTTTATTCCACTACCCACCTTCTCTGTGAAAACCCTTTACCTTCACCATATTACCAGTCCTTGAGACCAAACATTGTTTATCTTGGCACAATTCTTGCCATGAAATGTTTATAGTGTGTTTGGAAGTGTTATTAATCTCCATTGTTTCTACTGAAAATTGGAGCATAAAATTAGCTAATATCTCTATCAGTAAGCAATACATAAAATTTATGGGGTTTTTTTTGAAATGTTTATCATCCTCATATTAAATAAAGAGTAATTAATTGAGAGCTAAAGTTTAAACCTGTTGTTGTTGTTAAGTGCTGTCAAGTCAGTTCTGACTCATAGTGACACTGTATAGGATTTCCGAAGAGAAACTGATGGATTTGAACCGCTGATCTTGTGGTTCACACAGACCTTACAGTCCAGTGCATTAACCTCCAGTGCCACACCAGGACTCCCAATATATTGTTGTTGTTGTTGTTAAGTGCTGTCAAGTCAGTTCCAACCCATAGCCACCCTGTATAGGGTTTCAGAGGAGCAGCTGGTGAGCTTGAACCACAACCTTGCTGTTCAAATCGACCTGGCAGTCCAGCGCACTAACCCACAGCGCCTCACCAGGATTCCATGTTTTTAACTATAGGTACATTTATTTTTTGATAGCGTTTTTAATATTAGAGTTCTTTTTTTTCTTTTGTACTCTAAAATGCACCAGGACTATTTCAACACCGTGCATTTCCCAAAATGTAAAATGACTGGTTATATCTTTAGAAATATGAGGCGATGAGAAAGTGCTTCAGGCTCTGTTGCTCTTATCTCTCCAGATGGTTGTCTTTGCCATCTCAGTCCGAGCAGGCAGTAATGTCCCTGTCCAGTTCAGCGTGCCCATTATTGCTCACCTTACGAGACCGTTTGCTTCAGCTCGAGCAGCAACTTTGTTTCTCCTTGTTTAAAATGTTCTGGCAAATGCTTGTGGAGAAGCTGGATATATACATCTACCAAGAGGTAAGTAAGAGTAGTTGGTATTATTGGACTGTGGTGACAAAGGCCACTGGTGTCTCATAGCTTATTCTTTGTTCCAGATCATTCTTGCTAATCACTTCAATGAAGGAGGCGCTGCTCAGCTGCAGTTTGATATGACTCGGAATCTTTTCCCTTTGTTTTCCCACTATTGCAAGAGACCAGAGAATTATTTCAAGCAGTAAGCTCAATGTTTAACTATTAATCAATGCATCAGATTGTTAGAAGAAGTTGACTCCTTTTTAAATAACTTTAGAGTCCCAGTGATGTTTGGTGGAATAAGTATTGTTGGTGGTGGTAGAGGCCATCAAGTGTACAACAGAGTGAAACACTGCCCGGTCCTGTGCTGGCCTCATGATTGTTGTTTTACTGAGCCCGTTGTTACAACCACTGTCAATGCATCTCTTTGGCCATCTGCCCTGTTTTCCACTGACCCTTCACCTAGCATGATGCCCTTCTCCAGGGACTGGTGCCTTCTGATATGTCCAAGTCTTGCCATTAAAAATTTACAACATTCATTGTGTATCTACTGTATGCTCAGAGCACAGTGCCCAACACAATTGTTTTTGTTGTTGTTAAGGCCTTTGGAGTTAGTTCCAACTCAGAGCGACCCTGTATTGAGTTTCCGAGAAGTGGCTGGTGAGTTTGAACCGCCGACCTTGAAGTTAGCAGTCCAGTGCTTATCCTACAGTGCCACACCAGGACTCCAAACATAATTAGGAAACCAAACTAACTGTAAGATGTGATCCCTTACCTGACTAGATCTAAATCTTACCATGGGTTTTGTATTTCAGCATCTGGTTTAATCTCCTGTGAGTAATGGTTATGAGTTGGGTTGTTCCGTTTGAAACTACCAGCTGTTCCATGGGCAAAAGATGAGGCATTCTGTTCCCGTAAAGATTTGCAGCTTGGAACCCCCTATGCAGGGTTATTATGAGTTGGAACCAACTCCACGGCACATAACCACCACCGTTTGTGTATTACTGGGATAGTACAATAGAACATGAAAGCAAGTATATAGTTCTGCCATATTAATCGAATATATGAAATTACAAATGTGATTGTTGTTGTTAAGTGCCTTCAAGTCGGTTCTGACTCATAGTAACCCTGTATAGGGTTTCCAAGGAGCAGCTGGTGAGTTTGAACTGCTGACCTTGCAGTCCAGTGCTTATCCTCCAGTACCACACCAGAACAGACAGGATTCATAACTAATAAAATAGGCAAGGCCTGAAAGAATCTTTTTCTTAAACATTTATATTAGTTTTTGTTTGTATAACTATAAACATTTGTATCCTAGACTTTTTTTTCTGATTTTGTCAATTTAAAATTAAAAAAAAAAAATTTAATACTGATTAAATCAATACTGCAGTATTTAAAAAATAGGGAAATTTTCAGGTTATAAAATATTTCTTTTAAATGTATTGTAAAATAAAAGAAGATTTTTGCTCATTTCAGTAAGATATTTGACTTTTGCTGGGTTTTTGGTCATTTCAATATTCTACCTTTCTGCTATACCTTTAATATTTATCCCTTAATTAACTTTCTTTTTTCCCATATCGTGGTGTGATGCTGTAGGATAAGAACTGGATTGATAACCTTAAGGTTAACTGTTCAAACCTGCCAGCCACTCCTTGGAAACAGCGTCACTATGAGTCAGAACTGACTCGACGGCACTTAACAACACAATTTACCTAAAGTATTAGCTACATTTACTAGACTTTCATATTGAAAGCAGGAGTTCCTAAGTGGCTCAAACTTTAAGGAGTTTGGCTGCTTACTGAAAGGTTAGCAGTTGGAGTCCATCCAGAGGTACTGCAGAAGACAAGCCTGGTCATCTAATTCTGAAAACTCAGTAAACGGAAAACCCCGTGGAGAATAACTCTACTCTGACACATGAGGTCACTCTGGGGTGGAATCCACTCAAAGGCAGCTGCTTACTGGCTGTTATCTTATACATCCTAGTGAAATACAAGCTCTATACATATAAATGATGAGGCGTTCTGCTCCTGTACAGCTGGACAGCCTAGGAAACAGGGTCACTCTGAGTCGGAACCAACTCAGCAGCACACAACAACAAGCATATTAAAAAAGCCAAATGATTGTTTCATGGACACTTTTATAAAGGACACAGGGGCTACCAGGGTATAAGGAAGTGTTGGCTTTCTCAAAATAAGATTGTTATAGTTAATGTCTATGTTATTAGGGGTCGGTAACAGCGATCTCATTTGCCTTTTTTAAAACAGTGTAAAAGAAGCTTGTATTGTCTTGAATTTGAACATTGGTTCAGCCCTACTCCTGAAAGATGTACTACAGTCAGCTCCCGAGCAACCTCATGCGACAGCGGCATTAAATGAAATGGGAATTTATAAACTGGCTCAACAAGATGTTGAGATTCTACTTAATTTGAGAACAAACTGGCCTCATACTGGAAAATAAGACAAGTCTTTCAAGAAAAACTTTTTTGGGATTTTTCTTGTTTGTTTTTTTTACAAAGAAGAAGCCAATTGGATTTCAAGTTCTGCAATAATGTTCTGTATTCATGAAAATGGACAACTAAAAACCTTATTGGAATCATTTATTGTCTTGGAATTAAGGTGTTATTAAAATGATGACCATAGAGCTCGAAACCTCTTGTCCCTAAGAAAACAAAAACAAAATATTCAGAAGCTATGAAAACTTGGTAACTCCATTTATAAATATAAATGCCAACATGTCTGTTGAAGAAAATACAAGAGCAGAGTTAATAAATTATGACTGGCTTTTCATATCCTGTACTAATTAACGGAGATAATCAAACATAGCAAATAAATTTGTTTTTAAGTCACTCTAAGTGCTGTGTCTGGACTGTGAATTCACTGTACTTCCATTAGAAAACCTTGTGATCCAAGTATGATCGGCCTTTGTTTTCCACTAACGTCCTACCATTTAAAATGAGCCCTAGGTCCATTCCGTGTGACAGTGGGTAGCTTTTTCTTTTAAAATGAAATATTTCAGCCCAGAACTCTCTGCCTGACTCTTTCCCCTGGAATTGTTGTTGTTGTTAAGTGCTGTTGAGTCAATTCTGACCCATAGTGACCCTGTATAGGGTTTCCGAGGAGCAGCTGGTGAGCTTGAATCGCCAACCTTGCAGTTCAAATGGCTTTGCAGTCTGGCGCATTAACCCACAGCTCTAGGGAATGTAATTAGGCATTTTAAAAATGCCATATGAATGTAAACTGATGATGAGGTGAGAATCTTACGTTTTTCTTCTAAACTTTTCCTTGGTCTTGAGCTATATTCGTGATTTCTTGATTAATAAATCCTCAGAGTAAAAATTTTAAACAAACTGTGCTAAACTAACAGAAGACTTTATATAACTGTCAAATTTTAATTCAATATCATTTTTCCTGATTTAGCATTTCCGTGGTATTTTTCATGCTGTAACATTTCACATTTACATTTTTTACTTTATTCTGGCATGCAGCCTATATTATTGATATATTTTCAGGAGGCTTCAAAAACTGGCAGAAAAATTCCAATATCTTTTAAATCCATTTTCCACAATTTTTCTGAAGCTCCCTCACATCTTGAAATGATTATTACTTTTATTTTATATATAAATTTTGTCAAGCTAGTCTGTAAAGCTCACAGCTTTCTGGTAATCCTGGCAGACTGCGGCTTTTCCAACTCATTCTATGAGAATTTCTGGGTTTCCCAGGAGAAGATTGAAGCTGCCGCTGGAGTTTCCTCTCTAATTTTCTGATTGTCTTCCTCCTCTTCCCAGACTTGGAGGCCTCCTTTTCCTCACTGTCTAGTCAACTGAAAGTTTCAAGGGAATGAAAAATATCTCTCAAGGTAGTAACCACTATTCTAAAATGTAGTCATTAATACATGTGAATCATGACATATTAAAACAGTTGTTTCAAAATGAACTTACACGTCCTTCTTGAATTTCTCCATTGTTATTGCATGCCCATCATCTTTTAGATCTTCATTTGTAGTACAAAGACCCAAGGTTTTTAGAGCTGTAAGAGTCAGAAGAAATGAAAATTTATGAAGTGAGAATTATTTTCAGTTTAGGAACGTTATGGAATAACCATAAACTACTATCTCCGTTTCTAGATGACACTGACCTTCTTTATACTGCACAAATGATATGGTGCCTTGATTTGAGGAGTCTATCATCTCAAACATGGCCACGATGTTAGTGGAATCCATAAAGAAAGGAAAAGTCACCCCTGTGACTTGGGCTATTCTCAGTCTTTCCAATGTAGCTATTAGATAATCTCTTGGCTTTTCTGAAAAATAGTTCCAGTTCTTTCTATGAAATTTAAAATATGTCATAATGCAAATAGTCATTTAACAGTTATTAAACACATTACTGAGGGAGGTTAATGCTTCTGGCTTCAGTTGATGGTGATGGAGAAAAAACATTGGTTAAGGGTAAGATTGCATAGACTATTAATATAATTGCTACCAATAAGTTATACTTGAATTCTATTTTCCCACAGACTTTTTGAAGGCCCCACCCCAACCCCGGGATACTTGTAAAAAGAGGAATCGACGAAAATTATGTTCACAACAATGTCAAGAAAGACTAGTTGTTGAGGCTGCTTACGTAGAACCAGACATTTCATGGTTCTTGGTTTCTTGGTTTCATGGGGCACCCCCGTTAATGGGTCTAATAATGAGTTCAGTGCTCCTTTTCTACTCTTAGCCTGTTTTGTAGTATTTGGGATCTTAAAAGCTTGCAAGCAGCTCACCAAGGTCTCTCTTCACTTGGAGCAACAGAGGAAGAAGGAAAGTCAAAACTAGGATGAGGAGATGGACTGTGTGACTAACTGCCTCCTACTCAAAGCAATCTATAGTAAAACAGCATCCCAATCCAAATTCTACCATCATTCTTTAAAAAGATGGAAAAATTGATCACTTACTTTTTATGGAAAGGAAAGAGACCTCAGATAAGCAAAGTACTGCTTAATAAGAACAAAGTTGGATGCCTCTTACTTCCTAATCTCAAAATGTACTACACAGCCACAGTGATCAAAACAACCTGGTACTGGTACAAGTAAAGCTCCATAGATCAGTGGAACAGAATTGAGAATCCAGAAGTAAATCCATTCACATACAGTCAACTGACCTTTGACAAAGGATCAAAACACATTAAATGGAGAAGACAGTCTCTTCAACAAATGGCCCAGGCCAAACTAGAAATCCATTTGTAGAAGAATGAAATAAGACCTGTATTTCACACCATGTACAAAAACAAACTCAACATGGATTAAAGACCTGAATGTAAAATCTAGAACTAGAAAGATCAGTGAAAACAGGGACAAACTTAGGGACTCTAATACATGGCATAAGTACACTGTCAAACGTTACAAAAAAATATCACAAACAGTAGAAAACAAATGACTAGGGCCTCCTAAAAATTAGACACATATGTGGATCAAAAGGTTTTCCTCAAAGAGTAAAAGGAGCCCAGACTGGGAAAAAATTTTTTGCAATGACTTATCAGACAAGTGACTAATTTCTAAAATGTGTAGAAACCTACACCTCTGGTAGCGTAGTGGTTACGAATCAGGCTGCTAATCTCATGGTCAGCAGTTTGAAACTACCAGCTCTTCCTAGGGAGAAAGATGAGGCTTTCTGCTCCCGTAAAGATTTACAGCGTCAGAAACCCTGTACAGGGTCGCTGTGAGTCAGTACCTGAGACTCCATGGCACATAACAACAACAACAACAAACAACACCTCTAGAAGAAAAAGACAGCCCAATTGAAAAAAGGTCACAGGACATGAACAGACACTTTTCTAAGGAAGACATTCAGGCAGCCAACAAACATATGAAGACTTGTTGATGATCATTAGTCACTAGAGATATACAAATCAAAACAACAATGAGATATCTCAAACCAGCATTAATAGCAAAGTTCAAAAAATAAAACAATGAATGTTGGTGAGGGTGTACAGGAACTAGGGACCCTCCTACATTGCCGACGGAACTATAAAAAGGTTCAACCTTTGTGGAAAACAGTATGGTGTTTCCTCAGAAAGTTGGAAATAGAAACAGCCAGCAATCCCGCTACTTGGTATATATCCATAAGAAATAAGAGCCAGGACACAAGCAGATCTATGCACATTGATGTTCATCACAACACTATTCATGGTAGGACAAAGATGGAGACAGCTTGAGTGCCTATCAAGGGAAGAATGGATAAACTTTGGTGGATACACACAATGGAATACTGTGCAATGTAGAAGAATAACTACTAAACTGGGAAACCCCTCATAATATGGATTAACCTTGAGGACATTATGCCAAGTGAAATTAGTCAATCAGAAAAGGACAAATATTGTATGAGACCACTATTTTAAAAATTCCAAAAAAGAGTTTTCATACTAAAAGAAACATTATTTGATGGTTGCCAAGGGTGGAGGGAAGGGGGAGTAATTCATTGACTAGGTTAAATACTTGTTAACTACAGTGCCAGAGAAGGCAATACACAAGAAGTGAGAGGGCAATGTACAAGAAGAGGGAGGTTGGCTTCTAGAAGAATGATGAAGGCAAGCGAAGATACAGGGAGTCACGCAAGGACTAAAGGGGATAAAGTAAATAGTGATATATACATAACCTTTATTTTATTTTGTTTTGTTAGTAACTTTGAGTTTTGTTCCACATCTTTTTCATTCTATCTGGGAACTTCTGATGTGATCCCCTTCAGAACTGTTGGTAATGGTAGTCGGGTACCATTCTTCTGGTCTCAGAGCTGTGGAGACTGATGTTTACACATTCCATTAGTTTGTTGATTCCAGCATTCTATGGGTAGATCCATGGTAAGTCACAGGCTGAATGGGTATGGGAGGACGAGTGGGAGTATACCCACAAATATATAAGAGTTTGAAAGAGGATATTTGTACATGGGTGTCTACCTTTGCTGCAATCTCAGCTGTGAATTCAGTGAGCAAATGATGAGACGTTTTTAGAGATTATCAAACTTCTTAAGGCAATGAGTTGCTGGGGCTGGGGGCTCAGGACCATAGTCTCAGGGGACACCATGGTCAACTGGCATAACATAATCCACAAAGACAATGCTCTACATGCTGCATGGTGAATAGTGTCTGGGCTCTTAGAAGCTCATGAGTGGCCATCTAAGGTCCAGCCCGACTACCATTACCAACAGCTCTGAAGGGGATCACATTAGAAGTTCCTAAGTAGAATGAGAAAAAATGTGGAACAAAACTCAAAATTACTAAAATAAATAAAACAGAAATCTGGGCTTACTGGTTAGCAAGAGATTGAAGGAAACTGAGACTATGGTACTGGACCACCCTTCAGGTCTGGAAAGGAGCTCACCTTTGTGGCCCAATTTGCAGCCAAGCAGTAGATAGGCTTCTAGGGAGGACAACACCACTAGCAAGGTCTGCTCACCATGGTATGACCAATCATCCAAAATCAAAAGGGCAACACTGGCCTAAGGACAACGACAACGTTGAGAAGGGATGGGAAGGAGGTGGGATGGAAATAAGCACAGGGAGGAAGTGGGATAGCTGCTGGGGCGTGGAGGGGATTCATTGAGATGAAACACAGTGTGTGATTTGTTCAATGTAAAACTGATGATTCATGATCTTGTCTGTAAATCTTCAGTGAATTCACAATAAAAAGATTTTTCAAAAAAAGAAAACTGCCTCTTTTACCAATATTACTCTTCCTGATTTAGCATTTAGTTGGTATTTTTCATGCTACATCTCAAATCTCCATTTGAGAAGAACTAGATGGTGCCCAGCTACAATTAATCAACATTTTAGTGAAAGGTTCTATTGAAGAATACTGATAGAAAGGAAGAACATGCAGAGCAGAATTTCAAATTCTTAGGGTCTTCAGATTTTCTGCAACTATGGGCTAGATGAACCCCTGAATATGTTGCCCTGAGATAACCTTTAAACCTAAACTAAAATATTCTTTGAAGACTTCTTAGAACCAAACAAAAGTTTAGGCTTAACTAGTCAAGAACGTCTACTTTGAGCATTGAGCTCTTTTAAGATCTAAATAGAATCAACTGACAACAACAACTCAGAAGAGGAGATTAAGAAAGGAAAGGGGGAGTGAGTTCACCTGAACAGGGGAGAAGCAACTCAGAAAATGAGTGTGGGAAGGAATGCATAACCTAAATTGTACATGTAGAAATGGTTAAATTGAGTGTGTGTTTTGCTGTGTATGTTCTCAATAACAACAACAAAATTATATATATGAAAAAAGATTACACCCAAGAAAACCTTATGGAACAATTGTACTCTGTAACAAATGGGGTCACCATGAGCTGGCATGGACTAGGGGAGGCAACAGGAAACTCCATATGGAAGGAGCTTGCCAGACCTTTCTTCTGGAACCACCGGGTGTGTTCAACCACCAACCTTTAGATAAGGTCAGTTGCCTACACTACAGAAGGTGATTTAAAATACAATCATCATCAAAAAAAAAATTACAATCATCACTGTGGCAGAACTTTTTATCACACATTACAAAAAAATTACAGAATGGTTCAGACGTGTAAAAAATGTCAGGAAAAGCTATCTTCTTAAAACCAACTGTCTAGTCTATCAACTGTTTACTTCCTTTGTTGTTCAGTGCCATTGAGTTGGTTCCCAATCAGTTTCTGAGGTTAGCTTCATGTTTCTCCAGCAGAGCCACTGGTGGGCCTGAAACCTCTCCCCTTTGGTTTGCAGTCCAGTGCTTATGCTGCAGAGCTACAGTGCTCCCTGACTTCCCTTGTTATTGCTGATTAGTGCCATCGCATGGGTTTCGACTCATAGCGTTTCCAAGGAGTGACTGGTGGGTTTGAACCTCTGACCTTGAGGTTCAAACCGACCTTGCGGTCCAGTGCTTATCCTACAGCGCCATACCATTAACAACTCTTCAAAGGTAGGGATAATGTTATATAGCACGACTAACAGCCCCCATTTAAACTAGGTGTCCGCTAAATCCTTTCAGCCCCATTTCATCCTTACTCCTCCCTTACCCCCACACCTCACCCTATGGAAAAATAATCAATAAACTTCTTACAGAAAAACTAAGGTCAGAATGACCCAAGGACACCTGAACCCGTAGCTAAAAACACCAGCGTATCTGCACAAACAGTATTAAGGGTATATTGGTGGGTTTACTCCCACTTACAGCATAGGGTCTACTGGAATTTTCCACCCCAGGTGACAAGACAAATCTGTTTTAACCACTCTGGTTTGTTTTAACCACTCTGGTTTTTTGCATAAAACCCTGTTCCCCTGCGCACTTCAGGGTCAGAGTGATTTGGGCTTTAGCTGACACTCTGGCCGCCTGCAATAAACTTTGCTCTTTAAGATTTTCCAGTTGATTCTTTCCGACTCCCGCTACCGCAACAATAACAGTGGGAGCATCTATAAGGCATAAGGATAGTTGATGTATTATTCTTTTAATAAAGAATTAAGAACATCCCACGTTCCTATGATGTGGTGTTCCAGGATAATGCACTGGACCGCAAGGTCGGTTTGACCCACAAGGTCGGGGTTCAAACCGCCAGCCGCTCCTCAGAAACCCTAGAGAGGGCCACTATGAGTTGGAATCGACGCCATAACACTTAACAACAACTACATTCCTAAGAAATCGGTACTGTTATTACTCCGACTTTCCAGAAGAAGGCTAAAGTTCAGGGTCTTCACTAAGGGGTGCAAGCAGGAGCCTCTGCCCAAGTCGCACCACACGGGGCTTGTGATTGGCACAAAGAGTCATTCAATTTGTGTAACTGAGTCAGTTAGCAGAAGAGCTCAATTGCCCGAGGGGTAGAAGAATGTTTGAGGGCTCCAGGTGGGCATTTTCGGGAGAGTCCAGGGCACGGAGGGATAACTACCGTGTAGGGAGATGGGTGGACACAAAACCAAGTGGTAGGGGAGACCCTTACCCGGCCGGAAAAAGAGGAGTGCGCTGGTGAGCAGGTTCAACAACTCCATGATCTTATATTTTTCCAAATAGTCCCTGGCCTCGCGTTCCCGGCTGCGGCTGGGCTCCATTGCTCCGCGTAGTGTTGTTGCTAGGAGACCGGGCCGCTGCGCTGCAGTTTCCGTGCCTGCGGCTGGGCCCCACCCGGGGCGGTTACGTGACGCGCCTGCTGGCCGCAGCGACCTAAATTCGAAGTTCTACGCCTCCCCGTGGAGGGGAAACGCAGAGCACTTGCGAGCCAGAGAAGGCGGGGCTTTACCTGCCGGCCTAGCCTCCAACCCTGCCTGAGGGCTGGGCCTGATGGTCCTTTCCTGTTTCTGTCTCTAGCACCTAACTCAATACGTAGCTCAGTACTGGTTGGGTTCAGTACTTGTTGGTCCAGTGAATGAGACCTCTCGAACACAGGAAAAACTAATAAAAGCAGGGGTTTGTGTAATTCGGAAGTTGTCCATGGGAGAGACCTAAGCAGCATCTTTGGTGTACACAGCCTGCAGGCATGGTGCGGGCAAAGTGGCAGAGAAGCATCAGCCCAAATGGCCAGATTGTGGGGCAGGAAGCCTGAATGGCTGGATCCTGAGCTCCAGCGTTTCAGTTTGATGTTGCTTCATTAGACTGCAGTTTTGAGGGCAGCAAGGAGTCCACGTGACACATGGTAAAAGTTAACCCAAAGGGCGGTGGATTGGCACTCACCAGTAGGTTTAGGGAGACAATTAGCTTCCATGTAGATGCACAGCCTTGGAAAGTCTATGGGGGCAGTTCTACTCCGTCTTGTGGAATTGCTGTGAGTTTCAGTTGAATCCTCAACAGAGGGCAGGTCATTTTGCCATACTGTGGCAGTTTGTGTGTTGTGATGCTGGAAGCTAACGGTATTTTAAATACCAACAGGGTCTCCCAGTGTGGATAGAGTTCAGAGAAGCTTCCAGATTAAAACAGACCAGGAAGAAGGAGAAGCAGAGCACTTTAGAAAGATTAGCCACTGAAAACCTTTTGAATAGCAGCGGAAGTTGTCTTATAGCAGTGCCAGAAGATGAGCCACTTCTGTTGGAAGGCACTCAGAATACAATTGGGGAAGAACTGCCTTCTCAAAATAGAGTTGACCTTAATGACTTGGATGCAGCAAAGCTTTCCGGAACTTCATTTGCCGATGTGGCAACTCAGCATTAAAAGAATCAGCGGCAACCATGCATGAAAAATCAGAATGTGAAATGTACAAAGTATGACTCTAGGAAAATTGGAAATCTTCAAAAGTAAAAGGCAACCCAAAAATAAAAGTACAATGTCCTAGGGATTGGTAAGCTGAAATTGACTGCTATTGGCCTTCTGAATCCGACAGTCATATGATTTACTATGCTGGGAACTACAAACTGAAGAGGAATGGTGTCACATTCATCATCAAAAAGAGCATTTCAGAGTGGCGCCCGGTTGGGCGCACCATAGCGGCTGAACACAGGCCCAAGTCATCCAAGAACCTGTTGCACATGAAGTTCATGCAAAGGGGACTAGACTCCGAAACCAGGAAGCAGCTGAAGAAGAAGAAAATAAAATTATCAGTGAAGAGAATGGGTACTTGGATTTGCCAGAGCTGAAAGAGAAGGAGACCATCAAAGTCGAAGAGCAGAGCTTTGGGTTATGCGGAGACCTTCTCTACAGAAGAATATTGTCCTGAGGATTTAACCCTGAGGATGAGAAATTAATGCTTCAGATGAACTCTTAAGAACAAAGCTGAAGAAGATGATGAAACAGTGGAACTTGATGTTTCCGATGAAGAAATGGCTAGAAGGTATGAAAACCTGGTGGGGACAATTGGAAATAAGTTTTCCAAGAAAAGAGATCGCGCCAATTATGAAGAAGATGAAAATGGGAACATGAATAAGACCAAGACAAAGAAGGTGTTCTTAAAACCCCAAGATTAAAAAGGCTTTGTGAAAGATAGCTGCACATTTTGGAACTTAACTCCGATGGTTTCTCTGTAGTTTTTGATATGATAATGTGTATTTGTAACTAAGTGTGTAATTTTGGAAAATGCTGTCCCTAAAACAGATGTGTGATGGATGTTATACATCCTTTGCTTAATGGTGTTCATCAAGAAGGGATTTTCTACCCTTGATCTTCATAGTTACATGGTGATTTCCTACAGACCTTTTGACCTTGAATTTTTAAAATATTTTCTATGGTCCCTGACCTTCAGTAAATTAATATTATTGTTTAAAAAAAATAAAACAAGAGCATTTCAGGATTTATATATTTTTTAAAAGACATAATTTATTTGATTTTTGTTGAGAATATATACAGCAGTTGCTACATGTACAAGTCAGTAACACTGATTACATTCTTGTGTGCAACCATTCAAACTCTTTTTCTTAGTTGTTCCTCACCCATGAACACAAATTCGCCATCCCCTGAGACTCCTATCTAATCTTTTGGCCACTATTGTTGATTTGATCCCAAATATATACATCTCAAGATCTATCTTGTAGTACAGTGCTGTCTGTGATAGAATAATATCCAAATGCCTATAAGGAAGACCAGTTAATACAACTATTATTCAAATTTATTCACCAACCACTAAAGATGATGAAATTAAAGAATTCTACCAACTTCAGCCTGAAATTGATCAACCATATAATCAAGATGCATTGATAATTACTTGTGATTAGAATGCAAATGTTGGAAACAAAGAGAAAGGCTTGGTAGTTGGAAAATAGGACCTTGGTAATAGAAATGATGCTGGAGATTGTATGATAAAATTTTGCAAGACCAACAACTCATTCATTGTAAATGCGTTTTTTCAACAGCATAAATGGCGACTTTACATATGGACCTCACAAGATGGAGAACACAGAAATCAAATTGACTACATTTATGGTAAGAAACAATGGAGAAGCTGAATATCACCAACCAAATCAAGGCCAGGGGCCAACTGTGGAACAGACCATCAATTACTCATATGCAAGTTCAAGTTGAAATTGAAGCCCATTAAAACAAGTCCACAAACACCAAGATATGACCTTGAGTGTATCCTACTTGAATTTAGAGACCATCTCAAGAACAAATTTAATGCATTAGACACTAATGCACTAGATCAAAGGTGTTGTGGGATGACATCAAGAATATCATACAGGAAGAAAGCAAAGGGTCATTAAAAAGATGGGAAAGAAACAAAAGACCAAAACAGATGTCAGAAGAGACTGAAACTTGCTCTTGAATACAGAGCAGCTAAAGTGAACAGAAGAAATGAGAAAGTAAAAGAGCTGAACAGAAAATTTCAAAGTACACCCCAAAAAGACAAAAATATTACAATGAAATGTGCAAAGAACAAGAGTCAGAAAATCAGAAGGGAAGAACACACTGAGCATTTCTCATGCTGAAAGATTCAAGCCTAAAAAAATTCAAGCCTCATATTGCAATATTGAAGGATTCTGTGGGCAAAACATCAATTCCAGGTGCCTTGTTTCAAGAAAGTAAGGCGGCACAGGAGGCACTCACTCATCTCTGCCAAGAAATTTGGAAGACAACTATCTGGCCAATTGATTGCAAGAGATCAGTATTTGTGCCCATTCCAAAAAGAGGTGACCCAAAGGAATGCGGAAATCATCAGACAATCTCTTTGATAACCCATGTAAGTAAAGTTTTACTAAAGGTAATACAGAAATGGCTGCAAGCATACATTGGCAGAGAACTTCCAGAGGTTCAAGCTGGATTCAGAAAAGGACGTGGAAGGAGGGATATCATTGCTGATGTCAAATGGATCTTGATTGAAAGCAGAGAATATCAGAAAGATGTTCACCTGTGCTTTATTGACTTAGCAAAGGCTTTTGATTATGTGGATCATGACAGGCTATGGACAACATTGCAAAGTATGAGGATTCCGGAGCTCTTATGTGCTCATGAGGAATCTGTACCTGGACCAAGAGGCAGTTGTTCAAAAGAACATGGGAACACTGAATGGTTTAAAATTAAGAAAGGTGTGCGACAAGGTTGTATTCTTTCACCATACTTATTTAACCTGTATGCTGAGCAAATAATCTGAGAAGATAGGTCATATGACGAAAAACGTTGCATCGGGATTGGAGGAAGACTCATTAACAACCTGCGATATGCAGATGATACAACCTTGTTTGCTGAAAGTGAAGAGGACTTAAAACATTTACTGATGAAGATCAAAGAGAACAGCCTTCGGTATGCATTACATCTCAATGTAAAGAAAACAAAAATCCTCACCACTGGACCAATAAACAACATTCTTATCAATGGAGAAAAGATTGAAGTTGTCAAGGACTTCATTCTTCTTGGATCAACTATCAGCAGCAGCAGTCAAGAGATCAAAGACATATTGCATTAGGTAAATCTGCTGCACAAGACCTTTTAAAGTGTTGAAGATCAAAGATGTCAGCTTGAGAACTAAGGTGCTCCTGACCCAAGCCATGGTATTTTCAATAACTTCATATGCATGTGAAAGCTGGACAGTGAATAAGGAAGATCATAGAAGAATTGATGCCTTTGAGTTATGGTGTTGGAGGAGAATATTGAAAGTGCCATGGGCTGCCAAAAGAATCAATAGATCCATTTTGGAAGAAGTGCAGCCAGAGTGCTCCTTGGAGGCCAAGATGACCAAACTTCATCTCTCATGCTTTGGACATATTGTCAGGAGGGAACAGTCGCTGGAGAAGGATATCATGTTTGGTAAGGTAGAGTCAGAGAAACAGAGGAAGACCCCCAACGAGATGGACTGGCCAAGTGGCAGTGTTAATGGACTCAAGCATGGCAACAGTAGTGAGGTTGGCCCAGGATAGGGCAGTGCTTCAGTCTGCTGTGCATAAGGTTACTATGAGTCAATACCAACTCAATGGCACCTAAGAACACCAACAAAACATGGGCAAAACATTGAATGATGAAGAAAGCATCAAAAGAAGATGGAATGAATACCAAGAGTCACTGTACCAAAAAGAAATGGTCGATATTCAACTGTTTCAAGAGGTAGCATATGATCAGGAGCCAATGATACCAAAAGCAGAAGTTCAAGGTGCACTGAAGGCATTGGCAAAGAACAAGAGTCCAGGAATTAATGGAA